CCCCCCCCCCCCCCCCCCCCGAGTTCTTGAACATAACTGTTAGTATTTGAGAGCATGCTTTGGCTAGTAGGCTCAGATCTAAGGATGCCTTGATGCAGATGTAAGTCTCAAAACTTTTAGGTATAGTTGCAGGTTCTTCACAAATACAGTGGATTCTCTGGAGGTGCAAACCATGACGTTCTTTGTCAACTAAGTTGTCAGATTTTGGTTTTCAAAACATGTTTATAAGAGATTACCTTTTTGCTCTTCTCCCTTCTCTGTACAGCTCTATTGAACAACTCACTCTTTATACCTCTGGATACCTTGGATAAAGGGATCTTAGAACTGATCTCACTGTCATAAGAGGGTTTAAGATTCAATTTATGGGCTCTCAGATCTGCAGGATACCTCCCTTGAAGTATTTCATAAACATGTCTGTAGCCACAGACGTGGATGATGGTGTTGCCGTGGCCGTAGTCTTTCTTGACTTCAAGAAGGCCTTTGACACTGTCTCTCACACCATCCTCATCAATAAATTAAGCGACTGTGGCATTGATGCATACACAGTTGGATGGGTAAAAAATTGGTTGATGGGGCGCACCCAGAGAGTAGTGGTGGATGGGTTGTACTCAACCTGGTGAGATGTGAGCAGTGGGGTACCCCAGGGCTCGGTCCTCGGGCTCGCACTGTTTAACATCTTCATCAGCGACTTGGATAAGGGGGTTGAAAGCACGCTGTCCAAGTTTGCTGAGGACACTCAGATGTGGGGCGAGGGGGATACACTTGAAGGGAGAGAGAGGCTGCAACTAGATTTAGACAGACTACAAAAGTGGGCAGACAAGAGTAGGATGGGGTTCAACGTAGACAAATGCAGGGTGCTGCACCTTGGGAGAAGGAATCCACAGCATACATACAGGCTGGGGAGTTCCCTTCTTGAAAGCACAGAGGTGGAAAGGGATCTTGGAGTCATTATTGACTCCAAGATGAACATGAGTCGCCAATGCCAGACTGCAGCCAGCAAGGCCAGCCATACCTTGTCATGCATCCAAAGGTGCATCTCAAGCCGGTCCAGAGAAGATACTCCCCCTCTATACGACTTTGGTCAGGCCGCAATTGGAGTACTGCGTCCAGTTCTGGGTACCGCACTTCAAAAGGAATGTGGCCAGCCTGGAGAGGGTTCAGAGGAGGGCCACCAGCTTGGTGAGAGGGCAGCAGGACAGGCCCTACGAGGAGAGGCTGAGGGACCTGAACCTGTTCAGCCTTAACAAGAGGAGGCTGAGGGGAGACCTGGTGGCTGCCTACAAACTCATCAGGGGAGATCAACAGCAAATAGACAGAGCCCTTTTCTCCCCAGCACCACCTGGGGTGACAAGGAACAATAGTAATAAGCTGATGGAGAATAGGTTTAGGTTAGAGATCAGAAGGCAATATTTTACAGTTAGGGTGGCCAGAATCTAGAACCAACTTCCCAGGGAAGTGGTCCTCACCCCTACCCTGGGTAAATTCAAGAGGAGGTTGAATGATCACCTGTCTGGGGTCTTGTGAACCCAGCATTCATTCCTGCCTGTGTCAAGGGTTCAGGCTAGATGATCTGTTCAGGTCCTTCCTGACCCTAGCTACTATGATACTATGACACAGGGTGCATATTAAAATACTCCATGCCTTCCTGGATATCTGCCTTAAGGTGAAAGTTTGTATAGTTCTTACCATTGTAAGGAACTTGTTCTCAGGTCTTGACAAAATATGTCAGCTTTGTCTACTTAAGGTTATTCTTCTAACAATGATCTTTAAGAAGACAAGAATTTTACTTCTGGGGATTCCATTCTTTTTACCTCAAAGTTCGTTCAGCTTTTCTATAGAGCAGCATAGAGCTCATTGGAAACAGCTTTGTTTCAAAGCAGAAAGAGCAGCATCGTGGAGAGAACACATCGTCTTCTTACCTAGAGTTCAAGTCTTGTCTTTTATGCAGGATTACTACAGTTAGGTGAGATGTTTGGGACTTCAATTTATGACGCTTTAATTCAATGAGGGCCAGCCTTTCTGGCAGATGTTCCACAAGTTAAGCCCTGTGTCCTCCCCAGGTGCCACTTCAATCGCTTTCCTCTGCTGCTGTGGTTCTGCTTCCTGGCAGACTGGGGAGGGGACATGTGCCACACAGGCTGCCCATGCTGCATGTGGGTGGCAGGGACCCACTTTTACTTTAGTTCATCATTGCCAGATGCATCTGTAGTGGAGGTTGCTAATGATATTTAAGAAAATTAAGTATAACTTATTCCTGGTAAGCAACTTTATTTTGATAGTACTTCAGTTCTTTTAGTATGTATGCCTAGGCATACATGCGTCAGTCTCACCTCCATCCTTGGCAAAGTCTTTGAAAAAATTATCAAGGCTCACATATGCGAGAGCCCGGCAGGACAAATTATGCTGAGGGGAAACCAGCACGGGTTCGTGGCAGGCAGATCGTGCCTGACCAATCTAGTCTGTATTTATGACCAGGTTACAAAACGCCTGGACACAGGAGGAGGGGTGGATGTCGTATACTTAGACTTCAGGAAGGCCTTTGATACGGTATCCCACCCCATACTGGTGAACAAGTTAAGAGGCTGTGACTTGGATGACTACACAGTCCGGTGGGTGGCGAATTGGCTGGAGGGTCGCACCCAGAGAGTCGTGGTGGATGGGTCGGCTTCGACCTGGAAGGGTGTGGGCAGTGGGGTCCCGCAGGGCTCGGTCCTTGGACCGATACTCCTTAATGTCTTCATCAGCGACTTGGACGAGGGAGTGAAATGTACTCTGTCCAAGTTTGCAGATGACACAAAGCTATGGGGAGAAGTGGGCACGCCAGAGGGCAGGGAACAGCTGCAAGCAGACCTGGACAGGTTGGACAAGTGGGCAGAAAACAACAGAATGCAGTTCAACAAGGAGAAATGCAAAGTGCTGCACCTAGGGAGGAAAAAGGTCCAGCACACCTAC